TCATTCGTCGACTTTCCTCAGGCATGGAAGGTATTATCCGGTAGATTTCTTCAGGCTTAGAAAACTATCAAACTCTTCAGTCGGCTTTCCTCAAGCATGGAAAGCGTTTCAACAAATGTCACTTGGTGGATTCCTTCAAGCTTAGGAAGCTGCCAAATTCGTTTGTCACCGATACACTGGTGCCAGATATGTATTCTATCCCTTTACTCTTTTATCTGTTGAATTAACATTTTTCTGCAGGTATCGGCGTATACAGAATGATTTAGGATCGCAGAATGTCTTAAATCATTCTCTGTCCCTATCTACTACTTTGACTATCGTTTTCGAAACTAACGTTTCTACAAACTCAGTCAAAGTGGGGGCTTCTGTAGACACCTAAAAATGTCTCCCCAAAACCAAACCCGATGATAAATAACCTTTCACCGCCTCTATTGGTCGGGTTTAGTATTTAATCCCGAGAGTGCTTAAAAAAATCGTATTTTATTAAATTCATACCTTTGAAAGGTCCATGGATTAGTCTTGATGTTTGGTAAAAGCATAGTTTTAATTTTAGCCCAAGCTTATTAATCAATTTTAAGCCCAAACCTTTTTATTTTATTATTTTATTATTTATTTTTAGCCCAAACATTTTATTTATTTTTATTTTATTATTTTCTTATTTTAGCCCGAATAATAAAAGTCAGAAAAAAGCCCGAAATTATCAATCTGCACTTAAAAAGCCGAAAGAAATTAGGGTTAAAAATGAATTTAGACGGAAAAATGGACTGGAGGTGACCGTGTCACGGTACAGTTTGACCGTGTCATGGGAACCACTCCCGTCTGACGGTGGGACTTCCCGTGACACGGGAGGTCTGCCGTGACGCGGGATGTTCAGTGTCCTTTCCGCGTAAACCCTTATCGCGTTTTTCATTCCGTTTTTTGAAAATTTCCCGCGTCACTCCAAAACTGTACCGTGTCACGGGAAAGTGTACCGTCTGACGGTACAGTCTGACCGTGTCACGGTACAGTCTGACCGTGTCACGGGATACTTTTTTAGGGTTTTTATCATTTTAGGGTTCCGTGTGCTCCCTCAGCACATTTTCCCTATAAATACCCCCTCATTTCTGATGTACGGGGCAGCTAAGGCGTGAAAGGTAGAATCGTTTGAGGGTTTGGCCCCAAAATCAACCTTATTTTATTTAATTTAATTTAGTTATTGTTTTATTATTTCCTTGAAGTTACTAACTCGTTTATTATCTAGTAGTTGCAAAAAAACAGATTCAAAGTAAGGATCATGCTTTTTTTATTATTATTATTTTTCTAACGATTTTTATGTTGTTAGAATTGTGATTAAATTGGTATTAATGTTGATTTTATTTATTTTGATCACCATATTTCATGTTTAAAGGGAATATGTAATTGCAAATCACGACTAATAAGATAATTTGGACGACCGGTTTAGGATCCCTTTTAATCTTATTATAAATTGAAGTGATCACCAAATTTTTAGAATTATGTGTGCATTAATATTCAACCAATTTAGTTAAATAATAGTTTGGAGCAAATTGAATTATTGTTTGCATGCCTTTGAGATCGCAGGAATGTTTTTCAATATAAAAATCGAGTAGAGGCCAATACGGGCGAATGTGACTCCACGACTCACTTCCTACCATCATCCCTGATCCTCCTTTCGTGGTTCCGAACCATATGGAGTTAGTAAGCTCATGGATTATGAATGGGGTGTAACCTTCACGGGTCAATTGTTGTTGCCTTTGTTGTCCCTTATCCGTGGTTGCCTTTTATGATCCGTGAACGGTTTACAAGTTCCTTAAAAACTTGTTGGCGGCTCCCTACTTTATTTGTCCTTAATTGTAATGTCAATTCCCACTTCCTATGAGTGCCAAGCATATTCATAACATGCTTTTAACGTAGGCGCAGTTTGAGCGACGCCTACAATTTGGCGACTCCACTGGGGAGGATTCTTAATTATTTATCGATTTGAGTGATCGGTATTTAATTAAGATGAGTGGATGAGACTTGAAAGATTCTTGAAAAAATATTCCTGTGATTAATTTGGCATTTTTGCATCTGCATAGACGTTTTAACGACGTATTCAGGTCTGTCCCATAGGAAAAATTGGATAACTTGGTTACGCGCAAAAGCAAACAGGGCACCAGTCAAATTTTCTGACTGCCGTGTCACGGCAGTCCTAAAATCTGATCGGTGGCTTATTTTCTTTTCTCACAGTCGACTTCCTTCGTTTTTTCTGAAGATGATTAGAGAGCGTGTGACAAATGAAGATGATTAGAGAGCGTGAGGGTGTTTTTAATGAAGAATTGAAAAGAAAAGAGGAGTTAGAAAGTCAATTGTCATCTTTGATGCTTGTATGTGAAATTTTAAATCCAATGTGTGTGGTGAGGATGATAAAGATAATTTAGAGCAACCAAGAGAGTGTGAGGATCCCTTTGATGAGCATATGAGTGATGGTGAAAGAGTTGAGAATTAAAAGAGAGTTGAATTTTAAAATCCTAACCCTCTTTCCCATCTTGATGAGCCTCAAGTTTATGTTTGTGAGCCTTTAATTTATGAATACTGCGACTTGGTAATTTCCCATTTGTTTTGTGAGAGTCATATGAAGATTTGTAGATTCTTAGATGTGTTCATCGAGAACGCCGGTATTTAAATGAGTTTTTTTTTTTTTTTTTTTTGGAAAATAAGATTTTATTACGAAAGAAAGAAAGTTACAACTTACAAAAGCTAAGTTATAACTACCACCAGAACACCAAAAGACCTGAAAACAACAGGCCAACCCCACAACCAGTTCTAAGTCCAAACCTAGCCACCTTCTAGGAAGGGTTCTAGGAAGGGCCTAGAACAACTGGACTCAGATTTCCGGCCACCTTCTAGGAAGGGTTCCGGAAACCAGGACCAGACAACAAGAAAACCAGAAAACAACAAAACCACACACCTAAAAGCCAAAAAACAACAACCAGAAGCAGACATGCCTGCAAACTGGCCAAAACACCAAAAACAAAAAAAAACACAAAGAGCACAGCTCAGCAGACAGCAAGCACAACAGTGCACACCAGCACCAGCACAAGCACAGCACAGAGCACCAGTAGCAAGACAGCAGACCAGCAGCACATACAACATACCAGCAGTGCAGCAGAGGCACAGAACAACAGCTAGCACTACAGACCATCAGCAACAGCAAGCAGCAAGAACAGCAACACCAGCAACAGATTGCAGAAGCCAGCAAACAACACAGCAGGCAGCAGCAGAAGCAGATCAGCAACAACAAATCAGCACCAGCAGCAAGCAGCAGACAGACAGCACATCAGGCAGCAAAACACAGTAGGCAACAGTAGATCAGCAACAGTAGCAACCAAACAACAGCAAAGAAACAGCAGCAGCAGACTGCATCAACAACAACAACAACACACCAACAGAACAGCAACACAAACAGCAGGCAGTAGCAACACAGAAGCACAACAAAGCACAATAACATCCTGCAGAAAAGGAAACCAATACAAAAAGAAACAACGTGAATCCCAGAATCAGAACCCAACCCAAGAAAACAAGAACAAAAACACAAGGAGCCCGAGACAAGCCCTAAACGATCAAATATTTGCTTCCCGCCGGGATTCTACAAACTGAGTGAAAGACAATATCCCGAACAAGGGCATCAACTTATTTGCAACAACCAGTAAAGAGAACTGCATTCCTTTGAATCCAAATACCATAAACCGTTTCAGTGAAGGCCACCTGGATAACTTTATTCTTCAATCTGGAACTTCTGCAGATTTTCTTCATCCAATCAATATCATCACTAAAATGCTGAACAGGCTTGGAAACACGTAAGATCCCCAAAACCTTACTCCAAACCTTCTTAGAGAAATCACAATCAAAGAAAAGATGTTGAACACTTTCATTGCCATTCAAACAAAGGAAACACTTTGGATCACAAGAGATGTGCCATTGGAGCAACCTATCCTTAGTGACAAGCCTATTCCATAAAGCTAGCCACAATATGAAAACACTCTTGGGAGTTGCTAAGTTATGGCAAGTAACTCTCTTCCAAGGAACTTTAGGCACTTAAGGCCTAATAGCAGCATAAAGCTTCTTGATTTTCAACTTGTTGCCCTGAATGAAACCATCCCATCCCCCTTGATCATTCACAATATCTCTACAACTCAAAATCTTCTTCAAGAACCAGGAGCATCTAGCAGGGGTAGGAGTGGTCCAACAATCTTTATGCTTGAAATAGTAGATATGAACCCACTTAACCCAAAGATTATCAGACTTGTGAGCAATATCCCAAAGTAACTTAGTGACAGCTGCTTTATTCCACTCAGGAAGAGAAAGCAGATTCCAGCCACCACAAACTTTAGGAAGACAAACATTATTCCAAGCAACCAAAGACTTCTTAGCAGGAGCAGAGGATCCAGTCCAAAGAAAGCATCTGAACCTAGCCTCAATCTCTTTCAGAATTTTCTTCGGAAGAATAAAAATTTGAGCCCAATAAGTCTGAATACCAAACAACACACTCTTCACCAATTGAAGCCTCCCAGCATAGGACAGGTGTTTAGCCATCCACCCTTGAATTCTAGCAGTGACTCTCTCCACCAAAGGCCTACATTGAGCAATAGTAAGCTTCTTTGAAGAGAGAGGGACCCTAAGATACCTAAAAGGAATGGAGCCTTGAGAAACACCAAGAAGCTCCCTCAACTCATTCTGAACATCAACAGAGACTCCTCCAAAGTAGACTTCACTTTTATCAAGATTATCAGCTCGAGAGGCACCCGAGAATTTCGAAAAGGCATGGAAGAGAAGCTTAACAGAAACATTATCAGCTCGAGAAAACATCAATAAGTCATCAGCAAACATCATGTGAGTTAGGTTTAACTTTTCACATCTAGGGTGAAAGTTAAAGTCAGGGGACAACCTAAGCTCATCAAGGCATCTGGAGAGGTATTCCATACCAATAGCAAAGAGAAAGGGAGACATAGGATCACCTTGTCTTAACCCTGTCTTAGCTTCAAAGGGGGGGGGGGGGCAGGAAAACCATTAATAAGAATAGAGTAAGAGACAGAAGTAAGACAATTCTTGATCCAATCAACAAATCTCTGAGGGAAACCAAGCTCTTGCATGACAGTGATCAAGAAACCCCACTCAACCGAATCATAGGCTTTCTTCAAATCCACCTTAACCATACACCTGGGAGAGATAAATTTGTGATCATAGCCTTTGATCAATTCAGTTGCAAGAAGAATATTGTCACCAATGTGCTTGCCATGAATGAACCCAGCCTGAGCATCATCAATCACCTCACCAATGACAGCAGCAAGCCTAGCAGTTATGATTTTAGAAATGAGCTTATAGACCCACAGTACAACAGGCTATAGGTCTAAAATCCTTAACATGAGAAGCATAAAGGACTTTAGGGACCAAAGTAATAGTTGTACAATTCCATTGCCTAGGCAAAATCCCATTATTTAAGAAATCAATAACACTTGCATAAATATCATTTTTCACAATATGCCAAACTCTCTTAAAGAAAAAGGAGTTAAAGCCATCAATACCAGGTGCTCTAGTGTTATCAATTCCCTTAAGGCCAACATCAATTTCAGCATGAGAAATAGGCCTAATGAGGTAGCTCTGAGCAACAGAGCTAAGCTGCTTACCCCTCCGCATAGTAACAAGGTCAACAGCAGGGAGCCAAGGAGCTTGAGTCCTTAAAAGAGACTTATAGAAAGAGATAATTTCATGAGAGATAGCATCTGGATCCTTAAGCAACACCTGATTAGAATAAAAAATGGAGTCAATTCTATTTCTTACTTGCCTAGTCTTCATCACAGAAAAGAAGTAGTGGGAATTGCCATCTCCAAGCTTAACCCAATTAATCCTAGATTTTTGCTTGAAGATGCTTTCCTGAATACCATTCTAGTGCTTAACAACCGTAATAGCATCAGATTCTTTAGCATATAAATCCAAATCATCAGGGTTCTGAGCCATTAAGGTTTGAATTCTAGAAAGCTCATCATTAGCCTGGTCAATCTTTTCCTCAATGTTACCAAACTGCTTGCTAGTAAGAGATTTGATACTAGACTTCACAGAATTGAGAATCTGCCAAACAGAACTACCAGAGCCCCAAGCTTGCGAGACAGTATCAAGAAAATCAGGGTGATCAGCATTATAGTTTAGAAACAGGAAAGGTCTACCTTTCCTAACATGGCCAGAGCAAATATCCAGCAAAACAGGACTATGATCAGATAAAGAAGGAGGGAGATAAACAGTCTCCACATGCCCATGACAAGCTAACTAAGCTTGATTACCAAAGGCTCTATCAAGTCTAGAGAGCGTTCTAGGGCCAGTATGAGCCTTATTAGACCAAGAGTAGAAGGACCCTCTGCTTTTGAGCTCAGTGAGGTCCAAATCATCAACCAAATGTTGAAAGTCTCTAGTCTCATAATCAGTAACATCAGCACCATGAAGCCTATCAGAAGCATGAAGAACAAAGTTATAGTCACCAACACAAAGCCATGAAGAATGCTGGATAGAGATGCTTCTGAGCCCCTCCCACAAAGAAAGCCTATCATGAATGGAGTGAAGACCATAGACAACAGTGAAAAAAAATATGAGTAGTGAGATCCTTAGAAGAAACAGTACAATGAATGAACTGTTCATGAATCTTCAAGACATTAACAGTTACTCTATCCACATTCCAACCAAGCCAAATCCTCCCTTTGGGAGAATGTTCATAATTACACAACCAAAGCCAAGAAGAGCCAAACTTCTTTTGATAAGTGAGAACATTTTTCAACTTAATTTTTGTTTCAAGCAATCCAACAATATCAACTGAATGAGAGTGAAGCAGCCTTCTTACAGAGGCAACTTTTCCAGGGTCATTCAGGCCCCTGACATTCCAAACAGAGTAAATCATAACACCAAAGAGGGATTAACCTCACCCCCGCTTGGATTAATAGTGAAACCACCTGCACCATCCATTTCATTTGCAAACAAAGCAACAAAGGCATTAGAAGTAGAAGCAGGCTGATGAACTCTAGTTTGCTGGCTTTTTGTTTTCCTCCCTACTATTCTCCAACCCTCATCTGAATTCTTAGAGGTATGAACCTGTGGAGTAATAATAGATTGACCATGAACAGAAACCCCAACATCAACAGCAGCAGAAGGAGCAGGAACATGGGTAGGCTTAGGAGCCCAAACTTGCTTTTGCGTAGGAGGAACAGGAGCCAATTGCTTAGAAGCCTGCTTAGGCAAAGGAGGCTTAACAAAGCAATCATGACCAATCTTGTTACACTTAGAGCAAAAAGAAGGAGCCCACTCATACACCACCTTGATCTCCAATAATTCCTTCGAAGGACTCTCAACCCACACAGAGGTTGGCATAGGCTTTGTAACATCAATCTCAATCAAAACCCTAGCAAAAGACACTCTAAGCTGTCTAGTAGTACACTCATCAGCACAAATTGGCACTCCAAGCAAACTACCAAGGCGGCAAAGAGTGTGAGATCCCCAACAATTAAGTGGAAGATTAGGGAATTTAGCCCAAAGAGGAATAGTTCTAAGTATTTCAGCATGAAAATCAAAATCAGGGCACCAAGGCTTCACTATTGCAGGCTTTTCAAAGAACATATGAGGACCAGAACAAAGAATAGTATCTCTATCATCACTAGAACACATGTTGATAATAAAGTACCCATCATCATGCCAATACACATCTGGTTTTTGCATATCATTCCATTGTTGAGCAAAGAAACGAAGAACAGCAGCAATAGTAGGATAAAAGCCAACCACATAAAAAACAAGAGCATTAGCCCATTTTCGATTACCTTCCTCAAGCTCGGCTGCTTGTAGCTCAGCAATTGGCTTTCCATCTTGCACTTTCGGAGCAACAAAGGATAGTGAAGCTCCTTTAGTAGCCAATTTCCCAGCAAAAGATGAATTACGAGTTCCCTTCTGCTCTAGAACAGGGGAAGCAGCACGGTTTTCAGTAGAATCGCGCGAGCTCAGCTTTAAGGCAGAAAGAGGAGCAGCTCGATCTTCATTAATATCATGCGCAATATGCTCCAAAGAGATTGAGGAAGGAAATACAGAATGTCCTGTTGCACCACCGAGCCCAGATCCACCAGCATCCAATGGAACAGTAACCCTAGAAACCCTAGGTACTGTTCCATTGGACTGATTCGATTTGGCAGCAGCTTTAGCAACTGAAGTAGCTTCAGCATCCAAAGGAACGCCAGAAATAGCACCACTAGCTGACTGAACTACCGCCGGCGCCGGAGTAAGCAGTTCATCCCCCTCTTGAATCGGGCTAGGAACAAAAGGGGTATTTGAAATCCCCAAATTCTTCAAAACTGAGCCAACAACTTCATGAGCAGCCTTTTGTTGCACTACTTGAGGTGTAGAAATAGCTTGCTTCTTCTTCTTCGCCATTGAAACCCAGATTTGATGAAGAAAACCAATCAAAAATGAAGAACCATGAAGAAGAGAGAGAAAGTCAACGAAAGTCAAACCTCAATCCAATGTGTCTGATTGTTAATTCATTATTTATTTAAATGAGTTTACTATGACTCTACCTCCATTCATGCATGGTTTTGAGGACTTAGGTTTTGAGATAGTTGAAGGAAAGGTTGTTTATTATGGTGGAAAGGAGGATGAGGTTGATTCCCTTGGAGTTTTTGAGCTTGAGGGTGGTGTAAATTGTGAGATTTCTTCATTTCAAGACTCTATGATTGATTTTCATGCCTTCTTTGGCGATGTGAGACCTTGTGTTGAGGGAGTAGCTACCCCTTTTCCTATTTCTCATACCCCCTTTTCTCAAAGGTTTGACAACATCTCTTCTTGTCCTGTTTTTCTCCCTTACTATCTCAAAGAGCCTAATGGGGAGCCGATTTCTATGGACGATCTTATTGTCCCTCATTCGTCTATTGTTGAGAAAAAGGGTGATGTTGCCACCCAAAAATATTTTAGTATGGAGGATTTGCCTTTTTCTTTTTCTTTCCATTCTTTTATCCCCCTTCTTCTTCTTGTTTTCTTGTTTTTCCTTTTGATCCTTCTTCTTCTTTCTTTTGGCATCTCCCTTTCACTTGCATGCAACAATCTTGTTGCACGTTCTTATCCCATCATTTGCCTACTGTTTATCTTATGAAATGATTAGTAGTGCATTTGACAAGCTCTTGCGTGCGTTGAATTATTATTTTCTAGAGCGGTCAAGCTTGGACCTTAAGCAAGCCTTTCTCGGGAAGTAACCCGTATTTTATTGCTTTTATTTTCTTTTCTTTTTAGCATAGATTTCTTTCATGAAAATGTTTGTGTGCCTTTTTCTAGGTACATGACTTGATATACTTTGGTGCTTCGATTTGGATCAAGACTAAAGGAAATTTGACTCCTATTTTTGCTAGAATATGTAAGGCAAGGTTCAATTCTTGAGGAAATTAGCTTTGAAAGGTTTAATTCGGTCATTTGCGGGTATTTACTCCCACCTTAATCCGGTAATATCCTTCCTTGCTCTTTCTCAAGTGGATGATGACTTGTTGGACATATGTTGGTTTGTTGGTTTGTTTGATTGATCTCCTTATTTTCCCCTTCCATGGTTCCTATGATTTATGTTTGAGTGTATTGTCTCATTCAAGCTTGGGGGAAGGTGTTCTATCTTGTATGGTGGGATGTTGATTCATATATGCCATGCACATTCGTATATGCATTTCCATGTTCTATATTTTGAAAAACTCCAAAAAGATTTTTGTTTCTATCAAGGCAAATTTGCAATATGTCTTTGTTTTGTTCTTGCTTTGGACAAGTACTTTTGGACTTGTATAGTTGAATTCATTTCTTCTTAAATGGTAACGGTGTGCACGGTTTGAGAGTATGTTTGGTTGATTGTAGAATAGAGTATTCTAGGGTAGTCGTTTAAAACTATTGGGACCTTGAAGTCGGATTCTATTTGTCTTTGAAAATCTGCAATTGCTCCCCGTTGGTGAATTTGAACCTAATAGGTAGTTTTTGCCACAACCATGTGAGGTTTCATTGTTTTCAAGCCTTCTACATATTTTACATGAGAGGCTTGGATCTTTGACTATTGCAGACCTAATCTTGAATCTTGAATCATAATTCTAAAACACGAGACCAAACCATCTAGGGAGGACAAATACATATTTCTAGGGTGGTATTTTTCTTTTCTAGGATAATATTCTTTATTTTTAGTTCATTGGGTTTACATTTGTCTTCTTGCTAACCATTTGAGCTTTTTCCCTTCTTTTCAAGCCACGTCTTTAGAACTTTGAGCCTTTTGTTTCTTTTTGTTCCATTTTTTGTTTTTGTGAAGCAAATGGTCATGCTATTGGAGATTGTGGTATATGAGTTTGGAATTTGGTTCTTATTTGTAAGCAAGCTTGTGTTTTGTATATCTTGTGGATAATGGTAAGTGAATAAAATGAAAAAGCCGTCCAAAGTTAAAAAAGGCAAGGACATTCAAATGCAATGTTGAAAAAGTCGTCCATAGTTAAAAGAGGCAAGGACAATGAATAAAGTGAAAAATGAAAACAAAATTGAAAAAAAAAAGCAAAGCAAACTCAAAAATCTTGAAAATGAATTTTTTAAAAAAAAGTGAAAAATGAAAAAATTCAAAACCATTTTAATGTAAATGTTTCTCCCTATTTTAAGCATTGAGGAAAATGCTTTGTTTAAGCTTGGGGGGAAGCGTCTTACGCTTCTTGTATATATAATTGTGGTTAGAGCTTTGGATAAGCTTGGGGATGTTAGTTTTTTTTTGTTTGGTGATTACTTGATTGTGATTCTAACAAAGGCGCCTTCTTTGCTTCACTATTAGGGATACCACCAAATTTTTAAATTTTAGTCTACCCTCACCCTTTTGCCCTTACATTACAACATTTGGGAAAGCCTTTTGACCTAGAGGTTGAGTCACATATCGAGAGAGGGCATTATGAGTTAAAGGCTAAGGAGAGGGAATGCAAAGTCAAGATGTCGAGAAACCTCAAATCTATTTGTTTTTCCGGTTCCTTCGAGGAACTATAGATATCTTAGAACGTGCACTCCCTTACTTGTTTAGAAAGATTTGCATTCATTTATGCAAGTTCATTTGCAAAAAGTCCTTTCATGATCATTTGTTTTCTTTTCTTGTATTTTAGTTTCTTTTTCATGTTTTGCCTTGTTTTTATTATTACGAGAGTTATAGGTTAATCTCTTAGGAAACCATTACGAGAGCATCACTCGTCCTCTAGGGTGATCTAGGGGTTTAAATGGCTTGTCTTTAAGTGCTAAAATTGACTATGATTCCTACGAAAGTAAGTTAGTGTATATTCTTGTCTCTTCTCTTCTTTTTGTTTGTTTGAAAATGGTCATAATTTCTCCCTTGGTTTTGTTTTGCTCGAGGATGAGCAAAAGGTAAGCTTGGGGGTATTTGATGGGTGTCATAAATGGCACCCATTTGATGAGCATTTAGGTTGTTGTATTCCTGTTTTCATAGCTTTCATGCTCAATAAATGCCTAGTTTTATGCATTTGGTCTTGGTTTTACCTTTCCTCTCTTACTTTGTAGCTTTTGTGCATTTTGTCGGTTTTTCTACTCTTTTCTCCTTTATTTGCTCTATTTTCGTGGTTGGAGGTATTGTACGAGGTCCGGGTCTTGATATTGGTGATTTAATAAGGTGGAAGATGCTTTTGGAGCAAGCTCTTGGCAATTGGAAAGCTCAAGATGCAAGGAAGTGGATTCTCCAAGTTCTACCACTTGTGCTCTCAAGCCGTGCTCTCAGGAAGATAGGGTATTGAACCCGCTGTCAAGTGCTATTTGGGACTGCCACTCTAAGTGTTCATCATCATCATATTATAGGTTCATTCGAAGACCTTAGCGAACGCACAAAACCGCGAGAAGAGCCGAAGAAATCCAAAGAGGCGCGGGCGC